AGAAAACAAAACTCGGAGTTTGTTTTTCAACTAGGGTCCCCTGTTGACTTGCAAAGCAGGTGTTCAGATTGCAACTTTTGAGTAAGAGCTTGTAAAGGGAAGGGACCCCTTTGACTTGGAGGAAAATGTGTTCGTGAATGCTGGGGTTTGAGGGGGTTGCCTTTCGGGTGTTCCCCCTGTTCTTTTCCCTTTGGGGATTGAGCGCTGCCACCGCCTCGGTTGCCAAGTCCAACACCATCGAGGACGTAGGGATGGTCATAAGGGAAAGCTGGCCCCATTATCAAAGTCACCCCCAAGTGGTATGTTAAAGGGAAGCCACCCCAGCTTCTGACTTCGATACCACCCAGAAACAGTCAAAGCAACGACTCAAGAAAAAGGGCCAACTTGTTTTGTAGCTATGGCTCTTGGGCAGTCCTAAACGGAAACCAAAGGGAACTGACCCACTTTGGAGGTTGGCTTCCAAGAGAAACCCGATCCACAAACGGGAAAGGACATGCGCCACTTCGGGGCTTGGGGTCCAAATCGGTTCAGCTTTGTGATTGTCTTCTTTCGGGGGACCACCTAAACATGGTGGTTTTCCCTCTTGGTTTCACTGCAAATTGGCAGAGGCTTTGGAACTTGCGAATTTGTCCTGTATGGTCCCCGCCGATTTTTGGACATGAGGGGCGCGTGAGTGGTTGGCTTGCTTCTGGCCTTGCAACTTGGGCAACTCCATGTTTGCTCGTGGCTTTTCCAGCACCAGGTCCTGTGAAGGACGCCTTGGTAGATCCCGCTTTGATAGCGATAGGCTTGTCTGAAAAGGGTGGAAAACCTACTTTCATTGGTGGCTTTCCCCCCCAAAAAAAAAGCAATCCCGAGGGGTACAACTCAAAACGCGTTCTCGTTCGACCAATCCCAAAAGTACTGGCCCCCATATCCTTAGCTTTAGCCATGGCGACAAATGACACTCCCTCCGGAAGGCCAAACGTGTTCAGCAATGTCGCCTAGACAGGAACTCACTCGAGTCAGAGGCGGGACCCAAGGAGTGGCTGGGAAGACCCTGTGGGTGTGTCTTTTTTGAGGCTACCCATTTTTGGGTTCCCTTTTTTAAGACACACCCAATTTGATAGCACAAAGCTATCGCGACAGCATGGCTGCAAACAACTTTTGGCCTGATCTGTTGTTGTCTCTTGGGAAGACCATTTTAGTCGTTGACACAAACAGTTTGTACGATTTCTGGCCCATCCACAGAAGTGGATAATTTGTGCGGAATGAGTAGAATGGACATTTCCGTTTGAAGCCAAAGATGTTGAATTGTAATGGACACCTGCAAGCCACATAATGGTCTGCGTTTTGCCACAGGGAGACATTGAGGAATTTGTCAAAACTAGCGGCGTCCCTCCGCCCTTCAACAATCAGTAGGTTTCGTATTGCTTTCCTTAGTGTCCTTACCCTCTCTTCCCTCCGAAAAGTGGTTTTCGCGATGGTCTCCTTTGAACACCCGTTTTGGGTTTATGTATCGTGTGTGTCTTTTTTAGGGGACCCCGCCCTCTGTTTTCCTTTCGGTTTCCCTTTAAAACCACGGGAAAAGGGATACCAACTCCAAAAAAACACAGACCCATGTTCGGTTGCGGAATGATTCAGGTCACCGCTAATGGGTGCCTTGATGAGGGTCAATGGGGTGGCTTCCACTTCGGGACACAACTTCCAATACTGACAGATTTCGAGGCCGCCTTCCTCCCCTCCAAGCCAATGCTTCGGGCCTGGGACCTGGCCCGGGGGTGAGGGTGGGCCTTTGTTGAGGCAGGGCGCATCTTTTGGTATGTCCGGGGGCCTGAGATTTGGTCCAGAAAAATGAGGCAGAGTTTGTATGTGTAAAAACAGGCATTTTCAAGGGACGCATCGATTGGCCGGCCTCAAAATGGGGGTTGCGCCTCTGCTGTTCATATGGTCACATGGCTCTGATCTTGAATTGGGCACCGCCTCGAAATGGTCAGGGTCGGGGGGCTGTCGAGGCAGGAACTATGGCCAGTGCTGGCGCTTTGGCTGCCAGCGGCGCACGAATCTCAGTGGGCGCAGCGCGGACCGGGGAGGAGGGGGGGGGCGGGTGGGACTGTTCCGGACAGTGCGGGGGGAGCCTTTGGGAGGTCAAGCGGTGGGTCAGGCGGGTGTAGTCAAGGGCATGGCATCTGGCACACTCACCAAATATGAGAAGAACATGGGGGTACAGTCCAAACTCCTATGTCGGAGAACAAAAGTACATACTGACTGTGGCTGGTGTCTTAAATAGTGTTTTGTTTTGCGACTGAAACGAGTTGCCCTGTTGGAAGAAGTTTGGAAAGTGCCAGTTTGTCGGATCTTCCAGGAGGAGGCCGTTTTACACAGGACTTGTTTCACAGATGCAGTGCTTTGCACAAACTCAGCGGACACATGATGCGGCGCTCAACCCTTTTTGATAAAAGGGGCAGGATTTGAGCACAGACCTTGTAGAAGGTTGTTGCTGCATGTTGCTTGTATGATCTGACATGGGGGTTGTGACGGGTGTAGGAAAACAATGTTATTTTCTTAAACAGTTTAAATTCTCTTTCTACTTGAAAGCAGAACCCAAAAGGTGGATCCCTCGTTCAAAATGGCTGGCTTCCCACAATGAACTAATTTGTGGCTAATTTGTCTGCATGTTAGGGGTTCACACCAGAGGGGGTTCATCTGGCTATGATCTGAAAATCAGAATGCCCTCAAGAACTAAATGTTATCCACTAAAGACCCTCAATCAAAACGACATGGCAACTTTGATTACTGGTAGCCTTTCCGGGTTCGTTTTACACAATTCACTAATGCTTATTCAGGTAACAGAACCATTTGCCGCTCCATAGTCCTTAAATGCTTCCCACTGTAAGTAGGCAACCATTTTTTTCTGTTTGTTTTCCTTCCCACTTTAAGTAGGTAACCACATTTCTGCTTGTTTTCAAGCGGGAACACATACATTCACTTTTTGTGTGCTGGAGTGCGCGCCCGGTCCGTCCAAGGCGATGCCAGCCATGGCTGAGGAGGGCGGGCTGCTGAATTTCGGCAAGGCGCGGAGTTGGGTTTGTCGTCCCAGGGCAGCAAACCACATGTGCGCGTACGTGTCAATGTAGGAAACTTCATGGTTTTCGGCATTTTTTTGTTTTTTCCCCTCCATTTTTTTCCACTTGCGGAAGGTTGCTGGAGAAGCACACAACAGTTCAGACTTGCGCCTGCCTCATGGAGCAGAGGTTCGAGTCCTCTCTGGGTGCTTTGTTTGTTTATTTGTTTGTTTGTTTGTTTGTTTATTTATTTGTTTGTTTGTTTGTTTGTTTGTTTTGCTTTGCCCAAGCTGTCGCGTCTGCAGAGAGGGCGTTTTGCCGAGGCTTTTGTGTGACTTGAGGCTTGGTACCCTTTGCAAGGCTGGTTCAGATGCAAACCAAAGATTCACGTACGGCTGGTTGATTTTGATCCGTGCCCAATGGAGGGAGCCCCGATCTGTTCTCCAAGGTTTGTTTCTCTACACGTGGTCGAACAAAATTAGGGAGTATCTTATGATCATGACATTTTTTTTGGTTTTGACATATCCCAGCTGAACTCAACTTCGCTGGACCTCGTGGCATTTGCTTTTCCGGCCAACAAATCCAGCTCAGGAAGATGCGCAGCGCCCAAAGCTTCTGATCTTGGAGCACATCCCATTGCTTTTGCTCTCATGGCATGTTTTAAAAGTCGGGGACCTGGTTTTCCTTGTGATCCCTTTAAAGCCACCCCAAACCGGGTACCCTAAAAAAGAAAGCCACCCCGCGAGAAAACCACCAGGTCAGCGTGTCCCCGAATCCGACGGACTGACGGACCGACGGACTGTCGGCGGCAGGTGGAGCTGGGCGGCGGTTTTGCCCTCAACCTGGACATCCCAGAGCTGCGACCCCAGGATTCGAATCGATGGCTGCACACCTGGAACGGGACTCATGCGCCGACAGAGAAAAAAGGGACGCAAAGCAAGGTTTCCCAAGATGCCAAACATGGTGTCCATATTGGAAAGATGGAGTTTGGCACAGAGAGTGGGTGGTTCCTTCATGTAGAACCCATGCTTACCCAGTTGCCCAGTGGCACCCACTTTTCCTTCCAAAGGGGACAAAAAGGCAGGGGCGGGAATCAATCGGGAGCGAGTGCGATTTTGTTTGGCCCACGGCCAAAAAGGGCGGAGCATGGCGGAGCGTCCGAGGACCAATCTGATCAACATCTCCATTCTGATCGCCGGGCAGGGAGCCCAAGGTGAGGCGGTGCGGTGCGGCGCGAAACCCAGCTCAGTGCCTCGAAAAAGATTCTGGGCCCCATCTAAATGAGTGTGGCCTTTTTTAGAACTCGGACCCCAATGGCGATTTTCCTTTTGATTTCCCCTTATTGTGCCCCCAAAACGGTGATTTTCCTTCGGGTTTCCCTTTAAAACCACCAAAGAAGGGGTGCTTGCCCTTACAAAAGGCACCCAGGTGCCTTTTTCCCGTTTCCCTGTAAAGCGACCCCGAGATTGGCCAGCCAAATCAAGCAGACACCCTTGCGGCCCAGCCGGTCCGGCACCTTCAGGGCGCGGCATGGATACGATGGGCAAGCCCTGATCGAATCCGCTGGTCCTTTTTAGAACTGAGGAGGTTTAAGCAGAACCGCTGTTTGAGCATGGGCTCAGACCATGCCACTTTGTTTTTTGGAGGCCTTAGCCGGTCCAAGTGGCCAAGGGATGCGGCCGGAGCCGGCTGCCTCGAGGCTCTTGTACTTCCTGTCACCGGTGCTGGGCGAGTCTATGGCCTCTCGCGAGAAGGCAGCTGGGGGTTCCGAGCGAAAATCCGATCGATTTCGCCGCTTTGGGAGCTCTCCGACAGACTTCCGTGATGAAGGTGCTTTCTTGGTTGGTTTTCCTTGAGTGGGTCTGTGTCTTTAGTTGAGCCCCCCCCTTTTCGTTGAGCCCCCCCCAAAAAATAAATAATAATTGGCGGGTGTCCCCTGTAGATTGCGATGGAACCCAGCCCAAAGAAATGGCAGCCTCTAAGCAGACAACCCCTCAGGTCAGGTCAAGAAAGCCTCGCGATCTGTGCCAAAGCCCACATCGCCATGTCCTGACGCACTTCAAGGGTTGCATTGCCAATAGGTTTCCACCAAAAGAGCCACGAAGAAGAGGCCAATTGCCATCACAAGTCCCAGGTCGCAGACATCAACCTCAAAAACGGCTATGGGAGAAGAATTTTCCGCGTTCATAGCTCCCTTTGGGGCCTTTGGTGTGGGAAGTTTCGTCATTTTGCATTTTACCAGTGACCCTTTGGGAAGTTTCGTTGCTGGGGTAGACTTAGGATACATTTTGCATAGTGACTCAAAGTGAAGCAAACACTAGAATATACATTCTATAACTGGGCCTAAGTCATGATTGTCCCTTTGGTGGGGACCGGAGAACTGGACTTGGCCCACGGCGCCGCAGTCCTCCCGCCCGCCCGTTTTTTCGCCCTCCAAGGCTTTGGGCGCATGTTGGTTAAGAAACGGAGGCGGCGGATAAATATTGGCCCAGGGAACAAGGACCCCGTTTCTTTTTCTTTCTTCTTTTTTTCTTTCTCGCGCTTGTCGTGTGATTTGGGTGCTTTTTTTTTTGGAGATCTAAAGAATGGGGGGGTTTGGGTTCGTCTGGGCCAAATATTGGAGAGATCCTTCAGCTTCATTTCGCATGGTGTTGGGGTCGAGCGTGGTTCTTTTACTTGCAATATTGAGTTGGCAGCCACCATACCAACTCCGTTCGCTGGGAAGTGACTTCAAGAGGGCCAGGATATTTGGAGTAGGGGATGGCAACCGACATTCAAGACTGACATCGACGATTTGAACGGCACGTGCTGGCAGCCAAACGTCCACGGCATCAGTGGCATTCCTTTGAGTTGATGTTCTTAGTACTTACAGGATGCAATTGCCCTTCCCCCCCGCCCCCATTTTGTTTCTGGCCATCCCCTTTGCTCACGTCTACCAGGACATATGACAGCTACTCCCTTTAGCATGTTGACAAAGGAAGGTCGATGTCCCCAGCCGTGATTTTTTAGGCCGCGGCCAGATGTCTTCTTTCCAACGGGTAACTGGATATATGGATTCGGAGGTGGTACCCGTTCCATGGGCTAAATGACAGCCGTTTTTTTTTGGGCCCCCCAAGAATGCCATGCTCACATCTGACGAATTTGGCAAGAGCCGCGCAGGAGATTGGGTCTGACATCGAGGACGCCATTGCCAAGTACAACGAGGCGTGGTCTGCGGCCGGATGTTTGGCCGGAAATGGAGACTGCCGGTGCCCTCAAATTTTCGGAGCCTTTCGGGTAATGTTGTGCCCAGATCAGCAGAACGCGTCTTTGTAAAAGGGGGTGTTCCCTCCAAGAGCGGTCTGAGTCCCCACTTAGGTAGATGAAGGTTAGTAAGGGGCAGTCCCAGAAATAGTTCCTGCGCCTTTGCAATTCCTTACATGGCCCTGGGTTCACCATTTTGTACCAGGTTCTGATTGTGACTCGACTAAAGGGGGACACCCCCATCTCTCAGACTGAACCAGGTCTGCAGCTCCGGTGTTCTCATTGCCCACCGGCACCGGTTTGCCCTTCACGAGGGTTTTCCAGGGTAAAAGACACCGGGAGAACCTGGAACCTACCGTCTGAAAAGAAGGTCCAACGGGTAGTGTTTTTTGGGAGTTGGTACCTGTTTGAGGCTGGCTTAAGGGGGAGACACCACTTGTTTGTTTCGGGGCGTGCCGCTCTTCTGAAGCACAGGAAGCGTCCCAAGTTTCGACACGCGGCCAGTTAGACTTGTCCAAGCGCGGTGCCGAATACTTGTCTTTTCATTGGAGAAAGTTTTCAGCCTGAGGGTTTTGCTATGTCAGAGGACGTCCAGTCACGCCTAGATTTCAGATTTTGAGGCTGAGCAAGCTTGCATTTTCAGTGTTAGGTCATCATTTGAACCTTCAGAAGGGTCTTTGGAGGGGGATGCTGCCTGGACTTCAGGGATGCAATGGCAGCAACGACACTTGGTGGCGTGGGTTTCTTGTGCTGCTTGAACGCGACTGTTTCATTGATCCATGATGTAATATATATATATATATTATACATATATATATATATATACATATATCTATATATATATACACCATGTATGTGCAAGTACGTGTACACGCATACATGCACAAGCGAGGGTCAAGAGCGCCGAGTTTGGTTGCATACGAAAAGAAAAGACTCCGGCACTGTATATACTCGTTATTTTCTAATCTAAACCGAGGGTCTCCACATGTTTTTTGTGGGGACACCGAAGGGATGGGAAGCATTTCCCCCGCCATTTGGGTTTAGTGGTTTCCCTTCCCGTAGCTATCCCACCATCCCCCTTCAAGCCTCAAGCAATTGGGTGATGTTTCAGGGGGAAATCCAGGGAGCCCTGTGAACAACCTATTGGTGAGTTTCCTCTTGATGTTTTTTGTGGAGGAAATCTCAGGGTGTGTCTGTTGTAGGCACCCGACATGACGGTTTTCCTTCTCGTTTCCCTATCAAAAGACACCACCAAACAAGTGCCACCCGAAATTTCATACGGACATTTGTAGGGGTTTCCCTTTAAATACACGCACACACACACACACACCCGAAATGGGGTACCGCACCAAAAGGTGTTTCACCCCCGCGCCCTCCCCTCCCTCCGCGTTTCGCTGGGCCAGGCGACCTCCCGCCTGGCAGAGGCGGAGAAGAACAAGGCCCAGGCGGACCAGGCCCGAGTCGGTAGCGGTTGGTTGGGAAGGGAATGAACACTCCTCCCGCTGAACGGGTGTATGTTGCAACCACCTTGCTTTCGGGTGGTGGCATCTTTCAGGTTTCTTCTTGGATGAAAAGCAACGTCAGCTAAGTAGGTTAATCCACCCGTGGTAACTGGTGTAGCTAATGTGATCATCCCCAAATAAAACCAGGGCAACCTACTTACAGTATCTCACTCAAGACCACGTGAGCCCCCCAAGCGAATCCCCAATGGACCCAAATGACTGACTTGTAATTTTGCCCGAATCACACATGGTGCTCAAGACTGGTTTCCCTTTGATCAAAGACAATGAGACAATGACTGGTGTTGGAAACCCCTGGACCTGTTTGCACCTGGTCTTTGCCGGCCTGCGAGCTCCGCAAAAGGGTTTCCCGCCGAGTGCGACATCCCCAACTGAGGTCTGTAGAAAGAAGCTGAGCCCCACGTGTTTGTTGGGTGATTGTCCCAACCTGAGCCTTGTTTCTCCACCTACGTGTTTTCATTTGCTAGCTAGTAGGTAGCCATGGTCATTCATGACTGGCCCTGTCAAGCCATTGATTTGGCTTTCAGCAATGCGAGCAAACGGATGGCCATTCTACCACAACCAGCCAATGAGCAATTCGAGGTTCCAGAATCCAGGCACAAACGCCTCCCAAATTTGGGTTCGATGCGACAAAGCAGACTTGCCAAGCTTCAATGTCACTTTTCCATTTGCGACTCGTCGTATTGAGTACACTAAGAGAACGTCAGATCGATATTCGTGAGACTCGCATCCTTTTTGTGTTCTTGAACCCTGGTTGCAGGAACTCTTTTTGTTTTGGTTGCAGCCCAAGTTGAGCTACATGCCTTCGCGCCTGGTCAAAACAAGTCCCAATCCCTCCCAGTTGGTTCCATTCAACTGCGTGGCTCTGGCTGTTCACCTTTTCGTTGATCCTCAGGGAGTACATAATGCCACGAACATCGGCATTTCCTGAAGCAAAGGCAGGGTTTCCTTGGGCTGCGGGGTTGCCGTTCTTTTGCTGGGGGGACACACGAGTCACGGGTCCCCGTCCGGAGCGAGCCCTTCAGCGCAGGTGGTGAAGGAGATTAACGACAGCATCAGCAAGGCCAATCGAGCGGTGCAAGTGATGGGCAGTCGTGGATTCGCAGATTTGCGGATTTGCGCGTGAGAACTCCTTTGCGAATGTGTGTATATATATATATATATGTGTGTCTCTTTGGGTCTCTGTGTGGTTTGTCTCCAAACGGAAATGGTTCAGCCCCCAAAAGGATCGATGTCCCTTGGGTTCCCCGTAGACAGACCGCAAGAAAGGTACCCAAGTCTTTAGGAAAGACGCCAAGCGTGCATCTCCTGCAGTATCCCTTGGGCGTGTCTTTAAAAGGGGACCCCTCCAACAGGTGGTTTTCGTTTGAACTCCCAATTCAACCACCCAAAAAAGTTGCCCTCAAGAAAAAAGGACAGACCCATACCAGTCTTGATCGCGTGGCTCGCCAGGACATCAAGGAGTTCCAGACCAACTTGCAGGAAGCTTTGGGCTGGATGGCAGACAGGGCTGGCGAGATGTGCTAAGACTTGGTTTGTTGATGGGCACCGCCATTTTTTTTTCGGGCTTCGAAAGTTTGGCAACGAGCGAACGTTGGAACATGAGGCGAACCAAAGGATTGGTGGATTGCCCCGTTGCAAGCAAGTGGGAAATAAGGAAAAGCTGTTCACTTGCCTTGGTTTGTGCCCTCTTTCCAACGCCGCGACAGTTCATCTTCCACCATTGTTGGGCGGAGGTAGTGTTCCATGTAGCGCATCAATCGTACGTCAGGTACCCCTCAATTAGCGGTTCGGATTGGTGGTTTGCCTGGGCACCTTCCTCACTTGGCCTCAAAGCGTAGCAGTCGGGTGAGCATCGAGGCACAAGCTTCAGGAGGCTCTCGACTCCTCAGTAAATGTCTTTTTCTGGGAACCCTTCAACATGGCTTCGGCTTTCGTGTTGGTTTCCCTTCAAAGCCCAAAGAGGGGTTCCCCTGAAAACAGACAAACCTAGGGGGTGTCCCCAAATGCCCATGAAATTTAATAGGGAGCTTGCCAAATGGTTGGTGGACAAAGGGTCCGGGCCCCCCACCGAAATACATGGGCATGGTTTGGTGGAACATATTTGGAACATGTTCGTGCATATGATGTTAACCAATTGGAACATGTCTCGAGGCCTCCGATTCCCGAAAGCTACTCGCATCCGTTTTGCAAGGTCCCCGTTTTGCTTTCTCCGGGAGGTTTTATACATCACCTTTCGGTTGCCAATTAAAAGTAAGTTCCCTTTTGGGGTGAGGGTTAAAGAGGAAGCTCGAAATTCCGATAGGTGCAGGCAAAGAAGACCCAGGAAACGCAGGCGAGTGAGGGAGTGGCAGGGATTGGACTGGACCGGCCGGCTTGGGATTTTGGCTGGAGAGTCGAATTGTTCCTGGGTTTGCTCTTGCAATTCAATCCTACTCACTTGGAGCATGTAGGGAAATCACCCCTGCAGGGATCTCACGTGTGAAGGGGATGCTTGCGACTAGCCAAAGGGAGCGTTGTTTATGTGTGTAGGGTGCTGACGTGGGCGCATACAGGGCATGCAGTGGCACTTCTGCTTTGAGCGCCTTTTGACAGTGTCTTTCCGAGGGGAAAACCAAAGGACACTTGGCGACGTCACTGTCTGCCGCAAGTGTCCAGTACTGCTTGCAGCCTTTGAGGCAGACTTGCTTTTCTTGGCAAGTTTATGAGTCGTGGATTTGCAGAGGGCTACGTGGAGGCGGGTTAAACCATTGATAGGGCCTTGTTAGGGGCTTGTCCGAAGCAGACTGCCAATTCAGCACCTGCGGGTGCTGATTCACGCCAGATCTTGCACCGTACGAGTGCAGAAAGTTCCATGAGAAATGCGAACTTTTTAAGAAGATTCCTACCTTCGCTGGAAGAATGTCTGGCCCCTCCAAAAAGTGTAGAAGTCCTCTCGCACATTCACTGTGTATATACATGTATATATATATATGTGTGTATATATATATATATACATATATATATATATATACATATATATATATATATATACATACATATATATATATATGTATGTATATGTATATATATGTATATGTTCCAGGCCATGGACCCCCCCTTCCCCCCCCAACCCTGGGGGGTGGGGGTGGGGGGGTTGGGTGGTTGGGTGGGTGGTTGGGGTGTGGCTTGGGTTTGTTTAGGGTTGGTTTAGGGTGGGTTTAGGTTTGGTTTAGGGTTGGTTTAGGGTGCGTATAAGGTCAGTTTAGGGGTTGGTTTATGGTTTTAGGGTGGGTTTAGGGTGGCTTTTGGGTTGGCTTAGGGTTGGTTTAGGGTTTAGGGTTAGGGTTAGGGTTAAGGTGTAGGATTGGTTCAGGGTTGGGGTTTAAGGTTGGTTGTGGGCTCATCCGTGTTGGGATGCAAGGCTGGCAGTTCAGGGCTCGAGGAGGGGGTGTGGAGACCGTAGCAGCGGGATCCGGAGGCTCAGGGTTGGGGCGGGGGGGGGGGACCCTACCCTTGGCATTGGGGGTTGGTGGCTTGGGGGCTGGAACATATATGCATAATATAAATATAAATATATACATATATGTATGTATATATGTATGCATATCCCAGATTGCTGCAAGAACGCATTCGGCAAAAGACGGCCAGTTAGCTGCATTTCCCCCAGAGGAACACCCCCAACACCGCTACTCAAGGTCTGAATTTTCGCGGTTTGAACGCACGAGCTGGGCTAGGCATCACCACTTCACCAAAATGATGGTTGTCCTTGTGACATCCCTTTAAACCACCCCCAAAAAGGGGTAGCCTCAGCAAACGAGCCGCACCCAAGTCCTCAGGAGAAGGCCCAGGAGAAGAGCCTCGAGGAGTTGCAGGCTGGGTTTTGTGTCCTGTGGCGCCTGCGGATTCGGAAATTTGTGCTGGTTTCGCGATCAAACAGAGTGGCAGGAAGTGTTTCCCATTAAAACAAAGACCGGAATGAAAGCCAAGTATCAGTGGTCCTTTTGTTTATTCCTCGTATGAGAGTTGGGGTCCATTCCCACCTACGTCTCCCAAAAACGGGGGCCTCGGTTTTGGCAGCCCACGCAGCTGGGTTTTTGCCTTCTTCCGTTCAGAACTTGACCTGTGAATTCCAACGTCATTCCACCGATCCAAAAGCTTTACACACCTAAATTGACGGGCAAAGCTGGCCGTGTTGCATTTCGCGTCAGCAGGGTCCCTTCAAATGGCGGGCAGCTCACGATGGTTGCCATCCAAAATCGGGCACCCATTTGCCCCCTTGAGTTGGAATGGGGCAACATCCAAACAGCAATAGGATGGATGAAGGGCACCATGGAGCCTTTTCTTGACATCTCTGTCGACTCCCCGTTCTTTTCACTGCTTTTCAATCTCCTTTTCTTTTCCATTCAGTCTTAAGGAAAAGCCGCATTCCCAGAAGTCCTCCGCCTTTTCGCGCCCGGAACCCCTTCCCCTCCCCTCCCCTCTGCTCTCCTTTTCGACGCGTTCGATTTTTCGACACGCGCATCGGATGCCTTTTTTTCAGGCGCGCACCAAGGAGAGGCTCGAGGCCTACATCGACAGCCAGGCCGTGGAGCGGGGCTTGAAGGCGCGGAGGGCGATTTTTCGGGGCTTTTTGGTCCGAGCGAATCTCGTTTAGGTTGACCGACAAAACTGGGTGGCTCCCGAAGGCCATCCGGTTCCTTGACCTTTTAGCCTTTTAGTGTTTTTAAATGGGGTTCCATTTAACCCGCTTCAAGTTCAACTTTTAGCGGGGGATCTGAGGGCAGCCCAGAAAAGGAAAACCAACAAGAAGATCGGACATGTTTGTTGGGTTCCCCTTTTTTGGGGTTGACCGAAGAAAGGGGAAACCAAGAGGACGGCCAGACATGTTTGTTGTTTTTTTTTTTTTTCCGTTGAGACATGGTCATGTGGAGATCGGGGGCTGGTCCAAGGGCCGCAGTTGGCGGTGGTTCAAGCCCAGAACCGATGCCAAAAGGGCCATGATAGGTGGTTCGGTTTCTGCCTGGTGTAACGGTTCACTATAGCCTCTTTGAATCAAAAGTCAATGGAGTTTGGGCTCTCATTTGGGTTTTGGGTTTTGGCTTTCATCTGAATTCCCGCCTATTTGCACCCAAATCCGGACACTAGCTAAACCGCTAGTTTGTGTGTTGAGTTCCGCCAAAGGCTCATCTCGTTTTCACCCCAAAAGGACCTCCAAAGCTGGGGAGCCGCTCGCCGCTCGCCAGGAGCTCAAGGGCCTGAAACCGGGCCAGAAGCAGAAGTTCATGGCCTGCGGCTGAGGGTCGACCCAGCGCTGGTGTTGTTGCTGGTGCTGCTGTTGCTGGTGCTGCTGGTGCTGGTGGTGGTGGTGGTGGTGGTGGTGGTGATGATGATGATGAGGATGATGATGATGATGATGATGATGATGATGATGATGATGATGATGATGATGATGATGATGATGATGATGATGATGATGATGATGATGATGATGATGATGTGAATGACAGAGTTCGATCAGAATGCTGATGATTCAGAGGCTGTGAAGCGGCTATGGCTGCAAAGGCACAGGCTTGGGTTTGTAAGGTGGAGCTTATGACTAGGCCTTTGTTGTTGGAAGCCCCGCTTTGGGGGGGGGGTATTGGTTTGACAGACCTTGGATCACAAGCCGATGCAAGGGGGTAGCTTGGCGGGTTTCAGAACATGGAAACCAAGAAACCAGCATTTCCAGAGCCTCTTGTCGACCATGTTGAGCGATGTGTGCCTTGCGAAGCCACCCAGAGACACATCGCACCTCTTTCGCCCCCCCTTGGGTTCGATGCTTATCTGCGGGGAAAATGATGCAGAAGGGGGATTCTTTGGCCTCAGGATGCAGCCATCGCTTCCCTGTAAAATTCTCCTGCGCCGGGGACCTCAGAACCCCGCGAGTTGGAGTCGCAAGGTTCCAGTGGGCCCCACAGGCCGTCCGAGGCCTGCGTCAAGCATTTTTTTCGGGGTTGAAGCTGGTCGACTCTACCTTTTGGGAGTGTCTTGGCGAGGTCCTTGAGCGGTCTTCCAAAGACCGACTTTTCTGATCCGGGGGGCATCAGAGCGAGGCGGAAAAGTGCGGGTGCTAGGTAAGTTTCTTTGGCAGCTGGTAGCAGGAGAGGTTTTTTAAATCTAGAGTTCCCTTGAGGTTTGTCTAAACAGCATTAGGCGTGCCTTTTTTGAGGATACCCTCTTTTTGTGGTTTTCAAGGAACACGAAAAGGAGCACCGACAATTTTACGGGTCCGATTCCTAAACTAAGACACATCAAAAATAGGTGCCTGAGAATCCGAGGCCTCAGACTCCGGGAGGGAGAGCCTCCGGATGTCCGAGGATCAGTCAAGTTCATACCCACGGGTAGCAAATACCACCAGCTTCCGGTCTCTCCCTTTTGACTTTAACAACAGATCATGAATATACATATATATATATATATTAGTATATGTATGCTATACATGAACATGCACGTGTACATAGACATACGCATACATGTATTACATTACATTACGGTACGTTTCGTTACACTACATTACATTGCGTGACACACACATATATATATATATATATCTATATATATATGGTCACCCCCCCCCCCCAGGGCCTACCTTTGCCCTCTTCTAGTTGAAGGTGTCAACTCTACTCTGTGTGCCTCTTTCTTGCAGATGCCTGAAAACACTGTAAAATACAGTGTTGTTGTTGCGTTGTTGCCTTCTATGTGACAGCAAATATCTGATTATTTGAGGCTTGAAAGGCAGCAAAGCGAAAACGGATTCCGTTTTCAGATTCGAGCCTGGCTTTGATTGAATCACTGGTTTTTACAGTGGTTTTGAGTACACCAGGGAAAAAACATTGAACATATGATGTTTTTGGCAGCTTTGAGCTCTGCAACCTGCACAGACCCAAAAGCACAAAATCTCCTGAAAATGAAAGCTCTGAGACCTGCACATGCCAAACACATTTCCAGACCAAGTTTGGGGATATGTGCCCTTTATTTGTTTAGCCACATTTAAGCTAAATCATATTTGGGAATGAGTTACTATTAAAATTTGATTGCAAAGGCCAAGTGATTTCTTTCCAGAATAAGCTATATTCCAATTCAAGCTGTATTTGGGGATGGATTCTTGATCAAATTATTATGTTCAAAAGCTAATTGAATTCTGTCTGCATTAAAGTATATTTGGATTCTACTGCAATCATATTTTCCTTATTTGCAAAGGTATTATAGACATTATGGTGACTTATGAATGGTGGTGAACTATGTGCTTACTAAATTCTATTCAATATGCAAATTCAATTCGGATCAAAATCGTATTTGGAAAGGAATGTGTACTTGGATATGTTGGACTCCAGGCTCCAAATTATGAGGCTTGGAGAATCCAACATTAGACATCTCGAGGATTCTAATCTCCCGATTCTAGGTTTCAGGTGCTTCACTATGGACATTTCAAGGGATTGCAGGTCCAACAAAAAACTGTAAAACAAAGTGGTTTGAAGAAATTGCTCAGATTGTGTTCCCTTGGACCGAAGATTGTTTTCCCCAAACAACAGTTTTCCCTTCAACATTCCAATTCAATTCGCAGTATATTTGGAAAGGAATCTATATTTAAGAATGTTGGAGGACTCCCAGCTCCAAAATATGAGGCTTGGAGAATCCAAAACTAGACATCTCGAGGATTCTAATCTCCCGATTCTAGGTTTCAGGTGCTTCACTATGGACATTTCAAGGGATTGCAGGTCCAACAAAAAACTGTAAAACAAAGTGGTTTGAAGAAATTGCTCAGATTGTGTTCCCTTGGGCCGAATACTGTTCATTTCCCAAACAACATTTTGCCCCCTTCAACATTCCAATTCAATTCGTGTTGGAGGACTCCCAGCTCCAAAATATGAGGCTTGGAGAATCCAAGACTAGACATCTCGAGGATTCTAATCTCCAGATTCTAGGTTTCAGGTGCTTCACTATGGACATTTCAAGGGATTGCAGGTCCAACAAAAAACTGTAAAACAAAGTGGTTTGAAGCTTTGCTCATTTTGATTCGTGTTGGAGTTCCAGGCTCCAAAATATGAGGCTTGGAGAATCCAATATTAGACATCTCAAGGATTCTGATCTCCAGATTCTAGGTTTCAGGTGCTTCACTATGGACATTTCAAGGGATTGCAGGTCCAACAAAAAACTGTAAACAAAGTGTTTTGAAGAAATTGCTCAGATTGTGTTCCCTTGGGCCGAAGATTGTTCATTTCCCAAACAACATTTTGCCCCCTTCAACATTCCAATTCAATTCGTGTTGGAGTACTCCAGGCTCCAAATTATGAGGCTTGGAGAATCCAATATTAGACATCTCAAGGATTCTGATCTCCAGATTCTAGGTTTCAGGTGTTTCAAATTGGACATTTCAAGGGATTAGAGATCCAACAAAATGCTGTAAAACACAGTGTTTTGCAGCAGTTGCTCAGATTGTGTTCCCTTGGACCGAATGGACAGCCTTTGATATAACAGTGCAGCAGTGATGACACACCCACACACAATCATCAACCTTTTAGGACCACATGCCCAAACCACATCAAACAAGGCCTCAAATGAGTGTCCTTTTTTTCCCCAACAACAGTCTCCACTTGCTACGCAATAAGCCTACAGAAGGTTTATAAACTTTCAGGAAAGTTTATAAACCTTATTGAGTGTTTGACGAGTTTCCCGCGTCAAGGCAACAACACCCTACGAAGTGTTCATGGTATCGTTGAAGGATGGGGGGGGGGGTTGGTTGGAAGTCTTGGGGGGGAGGGGGGGGGGTTGGTTGGAAGTCTTGGGGGGGAGGGGGGGCGGGGGGGGGGGGTGGTGGTTGGAAGTCTTGGGGGGGAGGGGGGGGGGGGGGGGGGGGGGGGGGGGAGAGGGAGGGGGGGGGGGGGGGGTGGTTGGAAGTCTTGGGGGGTGGGGGGGGGGGGGGGGGGTGTCGGGGGGGGGCGGGGGGGGGGGGGTGTGGTTGGAAAGTTTTAGCAAGTATTTGCAGTGAGGTGTGATCAGCCAACTTTGCAAAGATTCTCAGTTTCCCCCCCCCCCCCCTCCCACCCCCCCCCCCTCCCCCCAGTTCTGAGGGGGGGGGGGGTGGTTGGAAGTCTTAGCAGTGAGGTGTGACTCAGCCAACTTTGTAAAGACTTCTCAGTACCCCCCCCTCCCCCCCCCTCCCCCCCCCTGCCCTTGTTGCAAGGAAACCGTCAAACCCTTGACATGGTTTATAGACTGTCTTGAAAGTTTATAAACTCTATGCTGTTGTTACTCAACATGACTTGTCACCCACAAAAAAATATGCAGCAACAGCACACTTCTTGCGTATATATGCTCACACCCCCTGTCTTTAAAAATAAGAGGGTTTTGTACATTTTGAAGTGGAAAGGTAGGCCCTGGGGGGGGGGTGAGCATATATATATATATATATATATATATGTACATACACATATTAGCACATCTATACACAAGTTTAGAACGCCGTGTATGTGCAATCATGTGCTTGTCAGAAGTGACAGATGTGTGCAGTGTCATCAACGAGGCTGGCTTTGAACAATTGCGAAACCAAGCATTCATTGCATGTATATATGCTGAGTTCCGTAGAGTTGTTCACTCTGTCAAACCTTTTTGTTCATTGTCAAAGGGATGAAATAAGGGACCTCCTCCTTAGCCGGCTCCTCAGACCACGGCCTATCCGGGTCTCTCAAGGGTCCAAAGAGGAACCTGAATTTTGATCCCGAGGATCCCTCCCCGGTCGAACTGTCATTCAAGCCCTGATGACCTGAATGTATATATGTAAATATGGTACTCCCCATTGCGTTTGACCTGCATTTTCCAATATGTTATGCTTTTTTTTGCTTCTTGGATTTTGAGTCAAACTTACGGGGGGGGGGGGGGAGATACATAGATTTCTGTGTATGTATTTGGCTTGCCAATCAAGCCATGGAGGGTTTCGGCTTGGGCCCTCAGCCAGCCTCTGCCAAAGAATCGCCGGCACGCTGCCACGACGCGGCCTGAGGAGCGCCTGGACTGGCAGCAGCCTTGCGGGCCGCGTAAAAAGAGATCCGCTTTGCGCGCGCGCGCGCGAGGGGAAGTTGAGGGAGGTGAGTGGCGGCGGGTGGCTCGTCTTATTTTTTTCGGGAATTGGACCGCCCCAAAATGGCGCAACAGTTTCTGTTTTTGGTTCCTTGTTTTAAAGCGACCGCCAAAAGGGTGCCCTCAAAAAGGGAAAAACAAAACCGTGTGGGTAAACACCCTTAGAGGTTTCTTAGGGTTAGGCTTCCTGGAGTGAGGTTTGTGAGGGTTCCTGAAGGTTTTTGCGTGGAACCCCAAGGGGGTGTTGGGTGGGTGCATGTGGGTGGGTGTCTTTTTTTTTCAAGGAATCGGACCCCCCAAATGGCATTCAAGATTAGAAAGGACAGACTGATGTGGGCAACCACGAGGATTGGGTTCGTTGGGGTTCAGGTTCCTTAGGGAGCCTTTAGGAAGTCTAGGTTTTCTTTTTCTTGGACTCCACCCGCCCAATTGGAGGAGGGCGGTGTTGCGTCTAGGGGACGCGACCGTGTGCTGGCACCTTTTGGCGTTTCTGGTTGCTTGGGAAGTAGGGAACTGCTGATGAGGGTGGTTTTCGTTTCACACCTTTGCGGCATGCTTGCGTGGAACATGTGGGGTTTAGGTTCAGTGAGTGGCCAACAACAATGCCTTTCAAGGGATAAAGTAGTCATAGGGATGGGGCCGCTTTGGGATCGCAAGGGTGATGTTGCTGACAAGATTGGAAAACCATGAACATTACTGACAAAGGCGCGTTGTAAGCGCAGTAGGAGCGATGTAAGCGTTCTTCCCAGGCATGTTTTCCAAGCACTTACTAACTAGCTTGGCCTTCTAAGTAAACAGCAACAGTTGGAAGCTCACAAGCTGATAGTTTTCCCATTCAGTGGTTATATCGTTCCAATCTGCAAGATCGCACCTTGATCGAGCCTCCCTGTTTTCCAGGCCAGATTGATGGGTTTGCGCTTCATGTTCTGGTTTGTATCGTCCTTCATATCCTTCCAACACCCGCGCTTACATGTGCCATCTTTTTTGCAGGGCTTCAACTTGTCGTCAGAGGCTTGCCCCTGCCATTGTGACGTTTCATTCCCTCCAAACGAAGCAGAGGATGTTCCCTCGGTGGGGGATTGATTCATTGCATAGGGGATGGATCGTTTTTTTTTCTTTTTTTTCTTCTTTTTCCGGGGGGGGGGGGGATGGGTCTATGTCATGGGCTAGCTTTTCTGTCCCCTGCAAAGCTCGACAGGTCTACCGCGTGCGATCCCCGAGCGGGAGGCTCGCGCGTGGATGGATCGTTTGCTGTTCGAGTGTTTCCAGCGCAGAGGTTTGGAACCCGGTGGCTTTGAACCCGGCCGAAATTCCGAAACTCCGTCAGCGACATGCCAGTTCATTGGTGGTGCCCAAACTCCATGACCGACTATAAGGTCTGGAAAATTCAACGAGCTTGGGGGTACAAGGAGCTCACCCATGACGAAGGGCATCTACTGGCCAATGATATTTGTGTACGGACTCATCTAACAAATTGAGGAATGCTGGCAGCTTGTGAAGACAAGATGCGTATCTTCTCCGCCCATGAAAGAAAAGCATGCTGGTAATGAGCTGGAACTCACGGAATCTCCGGCCCGCTGGTTTTCGCTCGCGTGGAACCAACCCAGTGCTGCCAGTTTCGAATATAGTAGCCAGGCAAGACAAAGCTCCTGCTTTTGTGTTGGGTTTGGGAAGTCCAAATCCCTGAACCCGGTGGGACCGGTGGGATGCTAGACCTGTTTCGGCAAGAACCCTTGGCTTAAGATCCAAGGGGTCCATCCCGGATCTCCACTCGCGCCTAAGCGAACTCGGATGTGAGGCCTCTGGCCCTGAAGCGGGTCACCGCCAGCTGCCCCAAGCACTTCGAGGCGGCTGTTGCAGAGGTCGGAAAAGCGTCCAAAGGGCGGCGATCCCGGCTTGAACATTGACATGGCGCCCCACACAGGGATCCCCCAAAGAGGAAAACCCTTTTTCGGTTTCATGTTGACATTCAGGAAGGTATTGCCATAATCTTCAAGCCGTTTTCAACGAGAACCGATTCCTATTCGCCATTTCAGGTGGTTCAGCTTGGGTCTTGGGGTCGCTGCAGGCTCTGGCGAACGAGGTGACCTTGCTG